GAGAGAGAGAGAGAGAGAGAGAGAGAGAGAGAGAGAGAGAGAGAGAGAGAGAGAGAGAGAGAGAGAGAGAGAGAGAGAGAGAGAGAGAACGAGAGCAAAGAGCATTCACAGCACACTGTTTGAGAAATTGAGACCCCATAAAATGACCCTAAAAAGTAAATTTCAATGTCACGCACTTCAAAGTTCAAACATTATCTCAAATTTAACTAAATGGCTGTAGGAGTAGAAAAGCCACGAAGGAAGGGAAGAGGGAGGGCACAAGGGAGGGCATGAGAGAGGGCAGGAGCACGGGCAGGAGTGTGGGAGAGAAGGGTGTAGTGGGAGGGAGGGAGTGGCAGTCGTTCCAACTCACTTGAGTGGCTTACGCAAGGTCCGTGAGATGTTGCGTGCTGCCAACGCTGTCCGTGGGTGATTAGGCCCTAGTTGATCGCTGAAGATTTTGAATGCCTGCCTCATCAACCCCAATGCCTTGCCTATTTGCCCCAGACTCTCCAGGCAGCAACCCATGTTATGGTACGCAAGCGCTGTGTTGACATGGTTGCTACCCAAAAGTGGGTGCTTTTCGCGAAAAATCTGCATGCGAACACACGATGGGTCAGCAAATCGGACAAAGAAAGGAGTGAGGTAAACCAAGGTCCTTCTCCAAGGGTGCCACTTGGCCACTTTTCTGAGTTTCTCACAAATAGGATTTCCACCTCACCTTCTGTGAGTGGCTCATCATCCAACCAGGAATTACAATGAGATCTCCAGAGTCCAGACTTCTTTCCGGACCCCTTCCCGCTTTCTGAATTAGCGTTCGTTGATTTACAATTGTTTGGTGAGGAAAGGGGAGGCCAGTTGGATAGAAGACAATGCTTGTTAGTGTATCCCAACACATGGTGGTGCCCTGACCAGCCCGCCTTGCCCGCTACGAGCACCATTTAATAAATGTATGGGCCATTGAACCATGGTAACCCTGGACCCGGACACCGCACACTTCTGGACTGTCTTCCGGACCAGTGTCTGGACCGGTCTGGACTGTCCGGTGATCCGGACATCACCAGACACCGGACAGTCCGGACTGATCCCCGAGGTGCACTCTGATGTCGCCTGCTTCGCTACGAGCACATGTCTTGCAGCAAATCAACCAGCACATTTAACTAGCAGACATGCAGAGTTCCAAACAGTGCAAAGCAGGCACAAGACTAAAGAAACAGAGAATTGTTTTTGAAAAAAGTATGATTAACTAATTTAACTTTGAACTTTGAACTTTGGATTTAGTAATTCAAGTTCATACCTTCATATGTAACTTAAAAGTTCGAACTTTGAACTTTGAACTTTGGATTTAGTAATTTAAGTTCATAACTTCATATATAACTTAAAAGCTCGAACTTTGCAGTTCAATTCAGAACGTCAGAGTCTTCAGACTGGCAGCACTGTCAGTGCTCTCTCTCTCTCTCTCTCTCTCTCTCTCTCTCTCTCTCTCTCTCCCCCCAACGGGCAGCAGCGGCGGGCGCCATGTCGAAACGACCACTTGGAAATTGCTCTGGCCTGTGCGAAACCCGCCACCTCAAAAACTTTTGCAGTGTCTTGTGTCCGGACCTCTAGGCCATGTCCGGTGGGGTGAAACGACACTGAAAAATCACCCATTATTTTTCGAGGGGCGGCCAGGACCCGATAAATGTCCTGGGACACCCCCTTTTTTTTTTGGATTTTTGCCCCAGGGCCCTCCATGCGGACGTGAGGACCGGACACCGGACACCGGACTGTCTGGAACCCGATCCGGACGTCCGGACGGTTACCATGCATTGAACCCCTCCATTACATATGGCACCCCTGCTATACATATTCCCCCATCAGTCTGTTGGGAGTCCGCGAGACTGTTAATAATGGTTTGGAGCCACGACCCTGCCTCTGCTCTATCCAGAGGGAGAAGTAATTTGCTGTTTAAAGTTTAAACTACCACTACCTTTCAGAGTGGAAGGCTAAGGGCACGTTCACACTGCGGTACCAAAACCACATATTCCCCAAAATCCCCCCAAAATGGGGTCGAGGGGTAGTCACACTGGGTGCACAATTTCGCAAATCACTTATTCCCGAACCCTTTTGTCAGCGGCCTGAGAGGCTGCGGGGGTTGGGAATTTGCAGTAACCTCCGGAGGTTACCGCAAATTCCTTATTCTTTTTTTTTTTTTTTTCAGAAATGACTTGAGAATGGAATGGCAAGATATCGGCGCCATCAGCGCCATATCAATTGAAAATGAGAAATTTGGGCAAATGGGTGACCTCGTCGGCCGGTCAGATGCGCGTGGGCGCTTTGTTGTTTGTTTCCCTTGGTGGTGTGTTGTCTTTTGCCTGGTCGTGAGTTTTGTTGCGAAGTGCGTCCGCCCTGACAGGGCGCTTTCTTTCCATATCCGTCGTCGGCGCGTTTCCACATGTTCTTCCGCCTGCTCCGGCCGCTTGTTCCGCCTGCTTCCGCAACTCTTGTGCCCTTGCCCCCTCCCGCCCTGTCCACCTTCACGTTCCTGTTCTGGTGCACGGTTCGTGTTGGGTGCTTGCCTCAAAAGTATGCCGGCCACAATCCCGTCCGGATGCAGCCACTGTCTGCATATTCATGGGGGGCAACGACAACACAAACACTGCGCATGAACCCGGATGCACTACTGTACGTTATTCATTGACAATTGTGTTGTCTGACCACGCTTGCATCTGAACCCTCCAACTCGGCTTTACCACGTTCCTGCGGGTACGGACGAGCGGGCTGCGTCATAGCAGCCACAACGGAAAGCGGGAATGTGGTGAAGCACACCGCGGGCCAGGCTATGAGCAAAAAAGATTGACACAACGCACAAGGACCCACATTTGAAGTTACAGCCGTTCGCGAGAAGCCAGTGCCTGAACAACGAAGAAAAAAAAAAAAAAGAAAAGCAGTTGAGGGAAAAAGGGCCGGCGCCGTGTGACTGGCGACCTCCTTTTGGTACCGCAGTGTGAGCGTGCCCTAACTCGCGAATATAACCTATACCCTATACCACATTCTTAGGAGACCGGGCGCCACCAGAGCAAAATGGCTGGCGGTGCCAGCCAACCAGCCAAAACAAAACAAATGCAAAAAGGTTGCGCTGGCACTTCGGCCAAGGCCAAGCTTGGCCTGCAGTTCTACTCCGCCTCGGCAAAAACAGGATCTGAGGTAGCATCTCTCTTTTTTTTTTTGTTTTCGTTGTTGTTGAAAACATCATCTTCGGACTTGGTACAGAGGCTGGTAGCAGACCCCTGTACCAGGCCCAGTGCATATGATGGGTCCGTTCTATTGGTGGGGGGGAGCTGCACCTGCTGGAAACCGGGTCCAGAGTCCCATTCATTTCAGACTGTTCCCCCCGATCATACATTCACAGACACCGGTGTACCTCTGCCTCTTCATCCCATAACAAACTGCCAGATATTCTATATATACCAAGCTGTTCTACACCTACTAAAATTGAACCTGAAACCTAGATAACAGACTAGTGTCTCAAAAGACTTCAAGCATGAGCATACAGACCCAAACTACCTCTTTTATAGATAATGGGTGTTCAGTGTTCACACTACATTCCTGTTCATATGTATGTCCACCCCCCAAAAAAACTGTTTTTTGTGTTCGGCCCAATAGAATAGAATAGAATAGAATAGAATATAGAATAGAATATAGAATAGAATAAAATAGAATAGAATAAAATAGAATAGAATAGAACAGCCTAACAGAATAGATAGAATAGAATAGCCTAACAGAATAGATAGAATAGAATAGCATACAATAGAATAGCATACAATAGAATAGCATAGAATAGAACACATTATCATCACATCTGTCTGACCTGAAAATTTCTCTAAATACAGGCACAAGAATGACCCCGCATTCTTTCTCTTTTCCCCCCCCAAAATGCACAGGGGCCATGCTAATCTTCTCTGTTACGCTGTATCGTTCCAATTTTAACGGATGTACACCCGTCAAAATGGCCGCACATTCTATTTTGGAAATCGGACGCAGTCTGCAATTGGGCAGCTGATGGCGATTCCTTTTTTTTTTTTTTTTTTTTTTTTAAAGGGTGGCAGTCTTGAGATATATCCGCCGGATGTCTTTAACGAAGAATAGGAAAACGGGTGAGTTTTTTTTTTGGGCGGGGGGAGGGCAGAGGGAGGGAGGAGCCGGCAGCCAGCTATGGTACGAAGCACAGCAGGAAAAGAATGGGAACGCTAAACTGAGAAAGAAAAGAGAGAATTGAAAAAAACTTAAAAAAAGAATTAAGTGGGAACTTCAAGCCTTTTGTTTGCTCTTGGGAGGTAGCGGAACCCGAGAGGGACTTAGGTTTGACCGTTTGACCAGGAAGGGCCTCCAATTACAGATGCCGGGCAGTCCCATCCCCGGTGGGTCCCAGGGAGTCACCGCTGTTCAGTGCAGGACGTGTGGGGACCACTCATGTCTTCAGTTAGAAAGGGGGAACCCGTGGGGCCCGCAAACTGAGATCAGTACGGACAGGGTTACAGGGCCAAGCTAACTTAGGCAGGGGTGAGGGGTGGTACATCCTTCTCTTGGGAGGAAATAAGTGGGGACCACTCAGGCCTGTCAAACGTAATGGGGAGGAGCCTGCGTGAGTAGTACTGAGTACTCTTGTAATTTTTTTTTTGACTTGGCGGGGGAATAGGAACTGGCACTGACGTGTCCTTCGGGATGTCCGTTAAAATTGGAGCGATACAGAGAAAGAAGATAAGCATGGCCCCTGCGCAAGGATGACACGCATAAATCGAGAAATGCTCAAAAAAAAAGAAAAAAAAAAGAAGGGAACCCGACTGACGCTGCCCAGAGTCGAAACAGGGCCAGATGCTGCCAGATTCGGCCAGAACCATCAGGTTCTGTTTTCACACACACACACACACACACACACACACACACAAAAAAAAAAAAAAAAAAAAAAAAAAAAAAAAAAAAAAAAACCTCCGTTGTTTGCCTTGCAGGTCTGCCTGGGCACCTGGTGTCTGACGTCAACAGTTATTTACCTTGGCCTTGAGGTAGGACCGCAGTGCCAGTGTGTATTCGTTGTTGTGGAAAAGGACGGAGCCAAGACAGGTAAGAGGCACAGCCCTGCCAAGGTGGTAGGAGGGAAGATCTCCAGCACATGCCTCTGCCTCCTGTCAATTATGAATGTTGTTTGCATCAAATGAAAGATAATTTGGCAGAAGACACAGACGACAAAGCACACACACAGATGCAGAATTTCAGTCCTACAAGAAGCGTACACAAAACAAAAAGGGACAAAAAAAAGCAGCAGATTGATGTCAATCACTGTAGATATAACAAAAGCACATCATGTGAGGCTTTACTGTGGTGGAGGACAGGCTGTGCCAACCAAAATTGAACAAATAGAACCAGAGTGTAAGTAATACTAAGTATCCTCACTCACACTCGCTCACTAAGGCATGTCCCTTCTGCCTCGTCCACGCAGGCATTCAGTCCATCAACCGCACGAGCATTTCCCCCAGCAAGATAGATAGGAGTGCGTGCTCTTATCATCACTCCTATCTGTTGTTGCAAGGGGTTGTTAAAAAAAAAAGAAAAAAAAAAAAAAAAGCATTTCCGACAGTTTCTGAACGTTGTGTGCGATCTTGTGTCATAAATTCTCATAATACATACTGCAGGACAAAAAAATGTGAGTTTTCAACTTTTCGTAAGACGAGTAGAAGGGAAATTTAAAATTTTGCATTTTGCCTCTTAAATATGGGGTATTTCCTGATTGGCCTCTCCGAAGATGTAAAATTCCTTGAATGCCCTTCCAAGTTCCAAATTCCAAGGGCTGTCCAAATTTGCCAAATAGCCATTGTGTCCAGTGGACCCTCCTCCTTTTTGGTATGCCCTTTCAGGTGCTGATGATTTTTTTCTAGATGCTCAAGTCCAGGTACCTCTGGCCGTTGATCCCTGCGACCAGTCACATGATGGGGAAGGGGGATAGGGTTTCACAACCAGTGGCGAAAAGTCAGAGTCTATATCTGTCATCATGGCTGGATCTAGACTGAAAATTGCACCAAATACAGGCGAGGACAGGCGAGGATGGCTGGTGGCGAAATGGTAGTATGCATATAACTGTTGACAAACTTCAGAAGAAGACGGAAGTCAAATCCCGTTGCCGACAGACGGCTACCGTCTTCACCCGAATAGAACATCCGGTCATCATGGCTGCATCTAGACTGAAAATTGCACCAAATACAGCCATAATGACCGGGTATTCTACTCGGGTGAAGACGGTAGTATGAGCAGTGTAGGGGCTAATCCCCTTGCAAAGCGTAAATCTCCCTCAAAAAAAGGAAAAACGAGAAGAAACCCGTTCCTTATGTGGGGTGGCCGGGCCCTTCTTTCCAATTAAGTAATACAACTTACGTTACCGAACGTACACGTATGGGGCCTTTCCGTACGAAACGTACAGGCAATATCTGTACGGGAACCTGTACAGGCAATATCTGTACAGGAACCTGTACGTCTTGTACGCCCCCGTACGGAAAAAAAAAACTCATCAAAAAAATCCGAAAACAAAATATGTTCTGCAACAGCACAAAACAAGCAACATTTGGCTGAGCGCCATCTACAGATTCTTATTATAATTTGAGAAAAACAAAACAAAAAAATAATATGGGCCCCTAGTGTACGAGTAGCGTACGAGTACGAGGGTGCGTACGAGTACAAGTCGCAACGTAGAGAAAGGTCCGAGTCTCGAATATCCCCTCCTCCTTTTGTCCATCTTACAAAAGAGATGGACAAAAGAAGAAAACACGCTTGCAGAATCTCAAATATCGCCCCCTTGTTCATCAATTTTCTGCACTAGACCAGTTAGACTACCCAGCCCCTACAATGCCCCTGATAGCTTTTAGGGCAGTGCATGTGCCCCTGGCTGGCACAAAGACACAGCAAGGAAAACAGAACAGATCAAGACTCTTGGTGCCAAGGTCTGCAATCTACACACCCCTGAAACGCTAAACCTCTGTTGCAAAGATTTCACGCTGCAGCCAGCCCGATCTCCCTCCCCAACAGCCAAGCTGCTCCAGCTCTACTATTATCCCTCCAAATCACCAACTTCATACCCCAACACATCCCCCATCTCAAGTCCCATTCCTGTACAATCTTCAATAGACACAAGTATTGACACTGTATCCACACCCCCCAAAAAAGGGTTTAGGGTTTAGGCACTTTCAGAGCCCCCTAGGGTTTAGGGTTGGAAAAAAAGAAAAAAGAAAAAGAGAAAAAAGAAAGAAACAAAGAAACAAAGAAAGGATCAGACTCATCAGAGGGCTTAGGGTTTAGGGTTTAGGCTTTAGTTTTGAGATACCACAGACAGTACTAGATATAAAAAGAAATTACCAATTCTAAATCCTACGCATGCTACTAAGATATTAGGCCTTAGCCGGTTTTGGTTTTTAAACAAGAGGGGCTGGACGAGCAGTTCCAGCACTTGATGCAAAATCTGACAGCTGAACAGCTGAGAGAGGAACAGGCCAATCTGCAGTAACAAAGGCACACAACAGTCAACAGTTAGGCACAGGAAAAGTTTTTTTTCTAGCATCCAATACCAACACAACAGTATTTCAGCAGCAGGCTAACGTAGGCAGGGGTGAGGGATGGTAGCAGCAGTATTTCAGCAGGTTAACTTAGGCAGGGGTGGTAGTACCGTGGCACATCCTTTTTAACGGAAGAAATAAATCGGGTCCACTCGGGCCTCTCAACTGTAAAGGGGAGGAGCGTCCGTGAGTTTCCTTATGTAATTCTTCGGACTTGCTGGTGGAATAGGAACACTGGACTGATGCTCCCGAGAATGGACATTATATGGTTCTGTTTGTTTGTTTGTTTGTTTTGTTCTTGGTTTTGTTAAAGAGAAAGGTCTGCGTCTTTCGGTCTTTGAGTCTCTCGCCGAATCCTCTCTCTGATGCCGATGGTCAGCCTTCCCTGCCTTAGAGGTTTGTTTCTTCTTTTTCCTTCTTTTCTTTCTCTCGCCCCACTGAACTTGAACCAGAGGTTTGAATCTCTTGACAACAAAATAAAATGTTTGCGCTTTGTTTCAGTTGAGGGAAAAGTGCGAAAAACTCCTGAGTTTTCTCCCAGCAACTGAAGTCTGTAGACTCTGCAGAGCCTGGGCCATTCTATCAGGAAACAAAAGCATGCTGTGTTTGGTTTTCAACCTGACGAGCGGTGTGCCAGTGACGTTCTTATGCCGGACAGTCAAGTACTTTTGGTGGGTTGAGCCCTATCATTGTTGTTGTTGCGGGGGG